ATGGGCATGGTAGATTTGAAATGAATGGTAATGGTGTGAAATTTAGTATTGGAAGATCGGTTTTACCTGAATCAAAGTACGATTTATTAACAATGAATGATTCTTCTGAAGTGTATAATGGCTTTTCTATATTGCTAAGTGGTGAGGTGGAGTTGCTCAATAATGATGATGTTTCAATTTCGACGATTTATGTAAGACCCAACTCAGCCCACTACGTTTACGAATCTTATATATTAGTTTAGAATCTTATATATTATCCACCAATAATATTATGTAACATAACGTTCATTAAAATTTTTAAAATAATAATTACATAGAAAGATGGAGGACCTTTCTGATGAAACTGACCATGGGTCGGTGGTGAAAACAATGAGGAAGTAGATGAAGCAGAAGAAGTACAGAGTGATAAAGAGGATGAAAAAAAAGAGGATGAGGACGACGAAAAAGAGAAAGGATGAGGAAGGGGACGATGAAGATGACAACTATAAACGGTAATAAAGGTAGTGGCGAAGATTACATTACAACAAGTTGACTGATTTTGTTGTTGAGAAATATGGGATATGACATGTCGGGAATGATGGTGACACTCAACTTACTGTGGGGCTAACATAAAAATTCAGTTGATTATTAGAAACGTGTACGTATACTAATTAACGTGTACGTAACTGAAAAAACATCGATTATTTTGGAGAGAATGGTGATATTCAACCATTTGTGAGTCATAACCATGAGATAAAACATGATTTTTAGAAAAATGTACGTACATTACTAAATATGTACACGAGAAATCATCTGACGGTAAATGTTTGACGTACACATACAAATTGGCATGGTAATTGTAAAGTGAATGGTAATTGTGTGAATTTTGTTCTAGTCTTTGATGATTTAGTCAATACCCGAGTTGATGAGACAAAAATATAAATTAGTATGGCAAGAGAGACATTGTTTGTTGGGAGTGTATTTAGAAAAAAAAAATCAAATAACAATGGCTTCATCTCCAGTAGGAGCGTCGTAGAATACACCCCCACCATCGCCAATATTGGTTTATTATTGTATCAATAAATTTATCTTAACAAATTTAACACACCAATAAAGATGTACGTACATTATTACACGTATACATACATAACTTTTTCAAAAGTATGAGGAACAATATTTTTTCACCATATATTTTTATTTAATTATTATATATGCATGAATTTTATTGAGATATATATGAATAAGTAACAAAATAGCTCAAATTTGGAGTCAAATCATTAATTGTTAGTTTTTTTTGTAGAGGGTGGTTTGATATTTATTACAACCATTTTAATATCGAACCATATACATAAGTTCCACTAAATATTTTTGTGTACGTACACCGTAAATTGCATATACGTACACAGAAGAAATTCGATGAAGGGTATAAATGTAATTTTCCAGTCATCTTCAACCTGAGTATCCTCCTCTGCAACCCTAATTTTGCGGCCGTCATTAGCAGTTATCTCAGAATCTTGTTTTTTTTTACCTTTTGAATTCTCTTTACATATAAATCTTGTAAATTTAGCATATTTTAAATTTGAAAAGCTAAAGTTTTTGAGTTTCCAGAACTTTGTTGTATTTTGTTCGTCGCCAGAAATATGAAATTTGTTTGCTTTTGCTCGTCTCGGCAAGAACGGAAGATAATGAGAGAGTTAAAGAGGAATCGAAACGGAATTCGCCGGAATTTTTTGGGGTTTTGGTCGTTTCCAAGTAGATGAATAATAATGAGAGATTAGATTGAAGAATGGAAACGGTTTCTACTCTGAGTTTTCCTCCTCGAGCTCTTCACTTTCGTCGACTATGTTCTTCGTTTTCCAATGTTGTTTTTAATTCAAAATTTTTTAAAATTAAATAAAACTAATTTTCAGAAACCAAACCAATTGAAAAAAAAACGATACACTTGTGAAAAAAAAAAAAAAAAAAACGAACCAAGTTACACTTCTAGTTGAGGGCAGTTTCGTCAGAAATATGGCAAATTGTCAAACGGTGAAAACCTTTCTCCACTTTGTCAATTGGTAAGACAAAAAATCATTTATGTCCCTTTTGTGAAAATTTCTTATTTACAATTGGGTTTGAAAAAGTGACTACTTACACAATTAAGAGCATGTGTAGTGCATAGAGACTTTGTCTCTCAAATATATTATTCTAATACATATCATTTAATTTAGTTATTTATTTTAATTTTAAATAACAAAAAAAAATTCAAAACCAATTATATGCTGACATGTGTAATGATAGTCTCTCAAAGGGTTTTCAAATGTTGTCAAATGCGAATCGATTCTGGTTTCTCTCTCCCACTTTTTATTATTTTCTTATATTTTATTATTGAGAATCTATGTGAAAACTCTCCACTGTACATGTTCTTAACAAAGAAACCCATTTAACAAAGAACCCAAAAAAAAATGCAAAACAAACGCCTAAGTTCACACAAGTCCTTGAACAAGAAAACTGGACTTCTTTCTCTATAGATTGAGCAGACGAGGTGCCATTTTCAATCATTGAACTTTCTCATCGTTGATCTAGTCATTAACCGTTTTTGCTTAATTCGGTTCGCTTAGACAAAGAAGATGTATTCTGCAAAATTAATAGGTCCTTGGAACATGATTCTACACTATTCAACCGCGACCAATGAAGGAATCACGGTTGCATAACCGAAGACAAAAAGAAAGACGAGAAAACGAAAACAAAAAGTTAACAAAGTAAATGATAGAAAGAATAAAAGACACAAAAACTTGCAATGCCGTGAGAAATGGGTCATCATGAGCAAAGCCACTCGTCAAGATTTTAATTTCTTCTTTCTTAGTAAGGGCCTGTTCGGAGAAGATTCGCAGCGACTATCTCTGCGACAGCTCAAAACGACCGTGCCGGAGGTGATTAACAAAGAAAACGACGACACACATGCAAAACGACAATGACGGAGCAGTCGCTAGAGAAAGAGAAAGCTATCGCTGGAGATAGAGGGGAGTCGCCAGAATTTCTAGCGACCGTTGCCGCAGCTCATTTCAACAGATCCGGCGACTCGTTTTAACAATTATCACTCCATCCACGTTTATTTGCCGTCGCTGTCGCATGTCGCAGCGTCTCTTAAAAGAACATGGCCTAAGTCTTCTATGAACAATAACATTGTGGCCAATAAGATTTTTCCACAAAGTTTCCATGGAATAATAAGTGTATAGTTTTTGGATTTATCTTCTCTGTTTCTAGAAAGATATGAGTGACAGAGACACTACATCTGTTTTGTTCCTCGTAATTTCTACAGAATATTATATCTGATGTAAAATATATGCATTGAATCAACTAAGATAAAGATTCTAGACTCAAATTAGAGATAAATGGATGGCTATGAGTTATTGAATAAAACATGATTTTCAAGACACTTTGTTAATAAAGAGATTTATTACAATGATACATAGGAAACCGACAGGGACCATATTGCACAAACAGCTTAGAACATTGACATTGTTTATAATACAACCACGAAAATGGAAAATTACAAGGATATAATAAACTCCTGACGAACGGAGTACAAACTTGACGAAACCTCGAAAGAGATGGGCTTAACGAGAAAAAATAAACCACTCATGTTTGTATGAAGTGAAGATATATCCGATCACTAATCCACAAAACACACCAGGTCCAAAAGATATCGCGGCTGCTATCCAGTTCAGCATGGGGTCTTCCTGCTCCGATGAAGATTCCTCGGGTTGATGAGATGTAGTAGGAACGGGAACATGATGGCTTTCTTCACAAGGTTCCTGGAAGCCATGTAGTCTAGGATTACCAACGAATGAAGAGCAATTTTGACTTCCAAACTGTGTGCTTCGTGGCACGAATCCTTCAAGATGATTGTAGGATAAGTTGATGTTGGACAGAAACGTGAGTTCCCCAAGACCTCTAGGAATTTCACCGGACAAGTTATTTTGCGATAGTCCTAATATCTCAAGGTTTGTGATATTTTGCCAAGGATGGTGGAATGGTGCCTGTGAATGCGTTGTCTGACAAGTTGAGAAGACGTAATTCACTCAATAGACCAATGGATCCAGGAATATTCCCTGAGAATCGGTTTCCAGAAAAATCAATGGCTTTGAAGCCTCGAAAGATCCTAACAAAATCTGTTTCTACTCCTTTGTACGCCAAATCCATCGAACGGTACGCAGAGAAATCAGATTTCATATAGTTCATGTCAAAACTATTCTGAAACACCGTTGACGTTGCAGTCCAATTGGCAAAATAGTCTTGTGGTAATGATCCATCGAAGTTGTTGTTGGATATGTCTATGATCCTCAAGCTTGGAAACCCTAAATAGGTAGAGGGGTTGTAGATTGGACCATAGAATGCATTTGATCGGAGCCCAATTACTTGTAAGGTTTGCAGAGAGCGTAACCAAAACGGAAACGTGTCCTTGATCTTGTTTCCTGCCACATTCAGAAATTCCATATACTCGCAATTGATCAAAGATTTTGGAATTTTACCCGCCAAATTATTGCCGCTAACGTCAAGTGATAGTAGCGAACAACCGTTGATGAATAAATCTGGTAGGAATCCACTTAAATTGTTGTTTTTCAGATTTAACTCTTCGAACATAAAACGCTTTAAACATTGAGGAATGGAACCAGTAAAATGGTTATCGGACAAATCAAAGATGGCCAAACGAAGATGATGTATTCCCCAAAATCAATAGGTTCTTGGAAAATGTCAAAATGATTCCACCCTATTTAACCGTGAAGAATGAAATACAGAAAACGGTAACAAGAAGTTGACCAAGTATATAAAAAATAAGACACAAACTTGTGCGTCCAATCCACCGCCTCTGTTACTCGCCTCGCCATTGATCTTACAATGCGGAATCGCCTGCTGTCTTTTCCAGGGTCTGCGTTGAACTCTCCTTCTCTTCTTCAAATTTATTTTAGTCGTCTTTCATTTCCTTTGTAATTTTTCTCTTAGTCTGTCTCGCTCTTGTTCCTTTGATAATGGGTTAGCTTTTGTAATCGGTAGATCAGCTTGTAATCTTGTTATTGAATGAAATCTTCACATTAAAACCAAAAAAAACAAAAACTTGTGCGTCCAAGTAAATGCCCTGAGAAATGGGTTTATCATTTAAATAAGTCATGAGATGAAGACAGAGCAAAGCCACTCTTCGAAGTTTATCTTTCTTTCTTAGCAAGTCTCCTGAGAAAAATAACTTTGTGGCCGACAAAATTTCTCCACAAAGATTTGACTCTTTTCTACACAATGTTCACAAATAATAATCATATATACCTTTTTTCTATATTAGCCGGGGGACTTTATGGATTATCTCCTATGTTTCTGGAAAATTTTGAGAACAGAGACTCTTAACTGTTTTGTTCCTCCTAATTCCCACATAATACTAGATTTTATTAATATATATATATATATATATATGTATGTATGTGTTAAAACAACTAAAATAAAGATTCTTTAGACTCAAACTAGAGATAAATATATGGCTATTAAACATATTTTTCAAGACACTTTGTTAAAGCTTAATTTAATAATAACTGAGAAACATAGGCAACCAACATGGACCATATAACACAAAACGGTGAGAATATTACAGTGACAATGTTTATACGGTGAAAATTACAAGGAAGGAACACCTAGCGAACTAGGTTACCGGAGTACAAACTTGACGAACCCGCCAGATAGATGGGCTTAACGAGATATAATAAACCACTTGTGTTTGTATGAAGTGAAGATACATCCGATAACTAATCCACAAAACACACCAGGTCCAAATGCTATCGCGGCTGCTATCCAGTTCAGCAGTGGCTCTTCCTGCTCCGACAAAGATTCTTCGGGTTGCTGAGATGTAGGAACGGAAACATGATGGATTTCTCCACAAATATCATCGAGGCCGTATAGCCCAGGATTACCAACAAATGAAGAACAATTTTGCCTTTGGAACTGTGTGCTCCGTGGCACCAATCCTTCAAGATGATTGTAGGAGAAGTTGATGTTGGAAAGAAACGAGAGCTTCCCGAGACCTTGAGGAATCTTACCTGACAAGTTATTTCGTGATAGGTCTAATGACTCGAGATTTGTAATATTCGCCAAAGATGGTGGGATATTGCCTGTGAATGCATTGCCTGACAAGTTAAGATGACGAAAATCGCTTAATACACCAATGGATCCAGGGATATCTCCCGAGAATCGGTTCCCAGAGAAATCAATAATCTTTAAGCCGTTAAAGATCAGATCAAAATTCATGTCTACTCCTTTATACACCAAATCCATGGAATCTTGGGGAGCACTGTATGGACCCTCTAGGGCTCCGTAAGATATATATTTGACTTTTGACATTTCAGTCGTCGTCCAATTGGCAAAATAGTCTTGTGGCAATGATCCGACGAAGTAGTTGTCGGATATGTCAATGATCCTTATTCTTCCAAACCCTAAATAAGCAGAAGAGTTGTAGATTGGACCATAAAATGCATTTGATCGGAGCAGAAGAATCTTGAAGTTTTGTAGAGATCCCAACCAAAATGGAAACGTGTCCTTGATCTTGTTTCCTTTCACGTTGAGAAATTCCATATTCTCGCAACTGATCAAAGATTTTGGAAGCTTACCCACCAAGTTATTGCGGCTGACATCAAATGATTTCAACAATGTGTAGTTGGTGAATATATCTGGTAGAAATCCACTTAGACTGTTGTTTCGCAGGAAAAGATCTTCAAGAGAAGTGAAATTCTTGAAACATTGAGGGATGGAACCAGTGAAATGGTTGTTTGACAAATCTAACTTCTCTAAAGCTCTTAACTTGCAGATCCATTGAGGAATTGGTCCTTGGAGTGAATTTGAAGCAAGATCCAATTGTGTTAACGTCCCTCCATCGATAACTTGCAATGATTTGCCAAAACTGTTGAAAGAATTATGAGAAAGCTTTACATACTCCAACTTAGAAGAAGAAGATGTCCATATACAGTGAGGTACTTGACCTTCCAACTTGTTGTAAGAAAGATCAAGATCATAGAGGTTGACTAGTTTAGTTAAAGAACTAGGGACTTGTCCTCGGAAATTGTTATGCCTAAGATATAACACTTCAAGTTTGGATGATGAAGATGTATTCCCAAAATCAATAGGTCCCTCGAATTGGTTTCCGCTGCTTAAATCAATCTGAGCTAAGGAAGAAATCTTTAGCAATGATGAGGGAAAATGAGTTGTCATACGCTGAGAATCGCTCCAAGTTGTGGATTTCACTTAGGTAAGAGGAAATCGAGGAGTGAAAGTGATTGGAAGAGAGGTCTATAGAGGTCAAGCTGGTTAAATTGGCTAATACTATATCACCACCAGTGAATTGATTCTCGCTGGGTATATAGTAGAAAGCTTGGTTAAGTTGGAAAAAGATGTAGGAATATTACCTCCAAGATGATTTTTGTGAAGCTTAACGGATTCTAGTTGGTTTAGGTTACCGATTGAAGTCGGAACTTCACCTACTAATTGGTTACGAGAAAGATCTAGAGATGTGAGATGAGAAAGATTTCCTACTGAAGAAGGAATCTCTCCTCGGAGATTGCAATGTGAAAGATCTAGCTCACGAAGATGTTGGAGTTTAAAAAGACCACTGCTAGATTTCAAAGATGTGTTGACAGTAGTAAAATAGAGTTGTAGTGATATCACCTCTCCCAAGATAGCATCACATGTGACACCATCCCAAGAACAGCAGTCAACGGTCTTGTTCCATGTAGTTGTTGGTATATGCAACTCCTTTTGTACCTCTAAAAGAGCATCTCTTTGGTCGCTGCGGCACAGGAACCGTGTGGGAGAAGCGATGGTGTTTGGTAAGGGAAGAAGGCAAAAGAAGAAATAGATGGTAAGAAAGCTATACGATTGGGTTCGAATCATCGTCTCTCAATTTTTGTCTTTGGGAAACGAAGATACTTTGTTTGTTGAGTGGTGAGTGATGGGCTTAACTCACTTCTATTTATAAAAGAAATTTCTCTGTAAGGAGGTTGACTTTGACTAGGCAAGTCTTCCTCTTCATATTAAAGCAGGAAAATTGTGGAATAATTTGTTTTTGGTGGACCTTATCTTACGTCCTTTTTCTTTTAGTGAAGAAATTTTTTAACACCCACCAAGTGTTCGACGAAATGTCTAAGTTATGAAGGATGTATTCCCGCCTATTCTTGCGGCTTTGGATTTTTGTATCGAGGATGTTGAAGATGCGTAGTTGAGCTCATGGGCAGAGAGGCTTAGCAACAAGGAGAGAATGATTATTCGGCCAACATTGATGCCTATGGTGAGCGTGAGCTGACAGAGTATTTACATGCTGCCAACAAGTGAATAAGAGAACCGTTATTGCGTACAATGTAATGATCAAAGTTAATGGAGTCGGTAGCCTAGATGTTATTTATCTGCTGCCAAGAAGTGAATAAGAGAACAGTTATTGAGTTTAATGAAGTTTACCGAATCAGTAGAAGCTGCGAAAAGGCGTATGATTTTAGTTGGGGTCACACCGGGTAAGTGAACATATAATACTCTCGTCCTGATCCTTGCATGCTCTGATATGTATGCGGCATACAGTATGCCTCATAAAGCCAGATGCTACTGTGCTGGGCCAGCTCAATATGGCAGAGAAAGTGTATAAAGAGACGGTTGAATTCATGATGTTGTTGTATATGGAATCTAGATCAATGCTTTTGAGGATACTGGAAACGTTCAGGAAGCGATGAGCTATGTAGAAGCGATGAAATAAGCTTGGCATTTTCTCTGTTATGTTCGACTCTACACTAAAGTTGGCTACTTGAATGAAGGCTGAAGCAATATACAGAAAGCTTCTTCAATCGTGTAACAAGACGCAATACGGAAGATTCAAAGAAGCTCTTTCAAAGAGATGGTTTCATCCGGAATTCAACCCGATGACTCAACGTTCAAATACTTGGAAGTTCGAACCATTCTGATGAAACTCTGGAATGTCGAAAACATAGTGTTCGTAAAATCGAAGAAGCCAGAAAAGAAGAGATTAAGAGAGGGAGGATTAGATCTATGGATCTCAACACTCACATCTGTTCTTGGGATTGCAACGACGACGAGCTTTAAAGTTTCTTAACTTTTGGTTAGATCTTTAGCTGTGTATGTAAATAAAAACTGTTAAAAAGACTATGAAGAGGGAGATTTGATTTCTTCATGAATTATACAAAACTGAACAAAAACAGAACAAAAAGGCTAAAATCCACAAGGCACAATCTATTTACATGATGTCATTGTGCCATGAAAGAACTATATCTTCAAGCTCTGTAATCAAATCAAACCACCGTGAATCATCTTCTTCACCTTCAACAACTTTCACTTCAACCACCACAACATCCACCGTTAACTCAACCGCTTCCACCACAATCACAGTTCTTCCTCTCCCTAATCCAACAACCTTCGCTTCTCCTTCTTTCTTCATCTTCTTCTTCACTACATAACCTAACTTCTCCCCAATCATCTTCGCTTTCTCCTCCACTTCAACAGCCGAAACCTTCGCGGTGAATCTCCTCTCCTTCTTCTTCTTAACCTCAAACAATCCAGAAAGATCTAACCCCGACGACAACGAGATCAAATCGAAAGCAGTAATCGAATTAACACTCGATTTCATCTCCGGTTCCGAATCAAAGATGTTACGATGAAACTCAGAAGTTTCTAGAGATTTTTTGAACCAATTCGTTTTCATAACTGTTTCAATACTCATTCTCGTTACTGGATTTGGATCTAACATCTGATAGATTATCGATTTAGCTTGTTTCGAAATCCAGCTCGGAAATCGATAATCTCTCCGATGAATCTTCCGATACATCGCTGCGATATTCGAATCATCAAATGGAACGTTGCCAACCAAAAGAACAAACAAAATCACACCACAAGACCACGCATCAGCTTTTGCTCCGTCGTATCCTCGCCGCGAAATAACCTCCGGAGCTGTGTAAGCCGGAGTTCCACACGCCGTGTGAAGCAATCCGTTTTGGAGATGTTCCGGTAAAGCTGATAAACCGAAGTCAGAGACCTTGAGGTTACCTTGCTGATCTAAGAGTAGATTCTGAGGTTTCACATCACGGTGAGCGACACCGTCTTGGTGAGAGAATCTAAGCGCGGAAGCGAGTTGTTGAAAGTAACGACGCGCCGTTGATTCAGGAAGACGACCACGACGGAGGACTTTAGAGAAAAGTTCACCACCGGAAGCGAGTTCCATTACGAGATAGATCTTAGATTTGGTTGCCATAACTTCATGGATCTTGAGTATGTTTGGATGATGACGAAGACGACGCATCGCATCGATCTCTCTGATTATTCTTGGTTCCATACCGGATTCGATTGTTTTCTTCTTCTCGATGATTTTAATGGCGACGAGCTCGTCGGATTCGATTGATCGAGCTAAATGGACTTTCGCGAAGCTTCCGCTACCGAGTCGACGACCGAGTTCGTATTTTCCGAGGAGAGTTTTTGCCGGAGTTGTTGCCGAAGATGTTTGGTTTTGCGGCGGAGGAAGTGATTCCATGGCGGCGGGCGGAAGAAAATGGTTGCCTGAGTTTTCTTAAGAGAGGTTTCAGGGACGAATTGTTTGGTGAGTGTCTCTTTTGCTTTTATAGGAAAAAGTGATTTAGTGCTTTTTTTGTTTTTCCGAAACTACCCTTGAATAAATTAGTTTTGATGTCACTGAAAAGTAGAATCTTTTTTACTTGTTAAGTTGTTATACAAATTATTTTGTAATTAATTTCGTTAAGAAAATTTAGGGAAAAAAATATTAATTGTATTTCTCCTTTTGTTTTTTTCTGTCAATTAGTGATAGTGTTTTTTTATTATTAATCAATAATATCACATGTCAATAAATAGTGAAAATTATAGCCCATAAATATAATAAGATGGTTATGTAATGTAAAGTTTAGTACATTATGGTTTGACAGATAATTATCATATGGTTGTTTAATTGTTTAAAAGTTGAGTATTTAATTACCTAAAATACTTGTCGATGTTCTGTAAAAGTGTGTGTTTAAGAGTTATGTGAAGTTGATAAATCATTTCAGTTTTACTTGAAATTTATTGTAAGATCTTCAAAAAATAACTTTAAAATATATGGTCCATTTCAAATTAGGACACTGATTTTAAATTTCCAGCTTTAAGGTTTTAGATAGTAAATGAAATATATACTTTCAATAAATATTGTTGGAATCACATATATTTAAGTAGCAAATCATCACATAGTTAGTAAAAGTGTTTGCAAGAAACCTCTCCAGTCTCCACTACAACACTTTCGGAGACCTCAATAATAGCATCGAGTGGTTTAATTATAAGTTTATATTCTGAAAAGCAAAAAAAAAAAAACTATAAGAATGCTAGAGTGGTTCAATTATAAGTTTATACTAGCATAGAGTGGCTTCATGAAATTGTGAAAAACAACCAAAAAAAAAACTGATCAAAACGATACAAAATCATATAAAATATTTTTTTTATCATAAATTAATCATTAAAACTTAAATTATGGTAGGTATGTAATGAAACCATGAATCAAATATTTTATGATTATGCTGCTAAATAACAATATAATCAATAGTTGACCCTCAATTATTTTAAAAAATTCTTTAGTATTTTCCTTTGTAATCATTGGATTTGGCAAAAATATATATAATTTATGTAATCCAATGCTCCAAAAATTATGATAACAACCTTGCTTTCATAAACTTATTTATATGAACCTTATTGTGTATGTGTTAGTCATTAATTTATAACACATTATTAATTTCATAAATACAATTGTATTCTCTTTCTATATATATAACTAAAAGATGTCAGACTAAAATCTAAAAAGTTTTAAATCTGCAGCTATGTAAATTATGCAGTGCCCAAAATGATACTATTATTTCAGTCTTTTGCTATAATTACACTATTAACTCTTTTCCTTTTCTTTTGTTAAAGCATTACACTCAACTTTATACTTTATATACACAACGATATCTTCCTAAAAAATATCTTATGGTCGATATCACAATTTGTCTATTCCACTCTCAAGTACTGAAATACTAATCATGAAAAAAAGTTGGAGTGATCAATATTCCAAAATAGAGAATATAAATATTGGTGTTCATCATTATTGTTGTATCTATTGGACACTTGGTGTTGAAATTAAATATTGTATTCCTTAAATAATTTGTCTTCCTACTTTCAACGGTCCATACGTGTCCATCTTTTTCTTGCTAGATAGATTCTCTCATCAATTTTTTCCACCTGAAGTGTAATTAAACCATCCCTAACTAACAATAAATTCACACTAAACCGTATTATTGAAATAAGGGTAAATAAGTCATTTACTCTATGTCGCAAACTGATCAGTGGATCACTGGTGGCTCTCGAGCCAAACTAACAAACCGTCAAGATTGTTTGGCAGTTGTCGACTGACAGATGGACGGCTCTCATTCGGCCAAGTCAGCAAATACATGGGTCACAATGGACCCCGCAAGATGGAGTGACTGGTGTGTCTGGTGAGCAAATAAAGAAAAAAAAAAACAAATTGATGTATTTGATTTAGGAGTTAAAAATAAAAATAAAAAACTTCAATTTTTGAATTATTTTATTCTCCTGAGATTTAGACTTTGCTAGTCAACAATGGCATATTCGTCACACACTATAACTCACCAATATATTATCAGTCGGCTCCATATTAAAAGAATACAATAACATGGAGAAATTTACGCATATGCATGTAACAGTGATATCATTTTAAACCATTCTTGATACGTATCTTAGAAAATTATTGCTATATATTTTGGACTATTGGAGGTAGTGGAATAGTATATGATTAATTATGTTGTATCAAATATCTTCTGCAGTTAAATTATATTTTAATACTGAGCAGGTCAGACTGTTTTGGTTTTTCAACATATGCCAAAATTTTGTGAGTTTGTAGACATCTAATTTAACTATTTAAGGAGATTAATTTCTATATAATGTTTACTATTTACAGTGGTTTTCAAAATGTAAAGATCTGTTTGCGTAGTACATATCACATGGGACTGTTCTTACATAGGTATATTTGTACACCAAACTGGTTCAGTGGTTAAAGACATCTATAATATGATTTCAAAAGTTGAAAAAAAAAGGTAGGTCATGCTATAAAATGTTACACATTCTAGATCATAAAACTTTGAATTAGTAAATATATATTAAGATAAAGAGTTATATTAGACAATGGAAATTCTAATTGTTAGTATATATTTATATTTTATACGCATGCATAAATTGTGAGAAAATGTGCTTAGGAGTTTTCGGGGAAAGAGTATACATGTTGCTTTAAATATTTTTCTCTTAACTAGTTTCGTGAATTTATGATTAAAATACATATGCAGATGATTGGGAAAATAAAGTAATTGAAGAAATTGGGTCGAACTAAGTAGGAGTTGTCTTAAGTAGACTTAATTCACTTAGATAGCTTATTGGGACAAAAACAAACGATACGACCATTGAACTTTCAAAGAGACGTGATAAACTTATTTTCCCATGAAATTATATGTCGAATTACGTAAGACATATGATAACTTGCAATATATATAATAATAAAGCTCTACATTTTTTCCCACGTTATAAAATTTTGATTATGTGTCGAGTCTTTGTGTGTATGTGTGGTGTGTGGTTTAGAGGTGTTCTATCTGCAATCAGATAGGTGGAGAAGGTGAAACGTAACGCATGAATGAATTGGTACATTGGGTATATAAATTAGTATCATCAACCAATGAATTTTATAATCTTTTGAAATGATTCATTTCACAGGACAAGTTAGGCAAAGTTATTTAATAATATCATCATTTCACATGACAAGTTAGGCAAAATCATTTTATTTTATTACCATTCAGAATTTTTTTCTAAATGATTTTCGTACACATTTATGTTATTACATATTCTAGCTAAAAACCAAAATGTTCACGTATATAAGTCTTGATTTTGTAGAATTGTATTGTTTTTTAATAGTGGCAATAAGTTCAACAACCAAGCAAACGAATAATTAGGTAAATGACGAATTCATATAACTTACCATAATTAACTAAAATGAGTTAAATTTTGAACAGATTTATTTATGTGCTCTTTTTACATTTCCAAATTAAGCCTTTTTAATTCATGTTAGAGATGTAGTAAGAAAAACAAAGGGAAAAATATAAATTAGTACCAAAATAATATTCATAAAAGAAATTTCCCAGACCCATAATCGAGTGGAAGAGGACATGATTTTGACCCTAAAATGAAAACGACACAATAATATATTTAACTCATTATAACAAGGAACCACCAATTATAGATCTTAGTGATATAGTAATATTATATAATCTTTCTTTTAAAAAAAATATATATATTATATAATCTATATGTGTACTAGCTCTACCTGTATGTTTGCCATGTGTTTCGATTAATATATTATATACAGAAAAATATTTGGTAAAAAGCTGAGTCTTATATATTTTTAACAAAATCTTTATTTAAAGAATTGAAAAAGGTTTTCTAATTCATAATTTTAATTATATGGAGAAGTGGCCGATTCTATATGAATTCTAGATCTGTAGATCATACTGCTGTAAATGGTGACATAAGAAAACTAATTAGAATAAAGATTGTATATTACTATATATCAGGAGTGCAATAACCGAGTGTTTTGGATTACACTGCTCTAATTTTTGACTTTTGTCAAAATTGCATAATTAATTTAAAGTGAATACATGATCAATCGACAATTTTTGCAATAATTTCTTGCCAAGTGGCTATGCCATTTTTGCTGTTTTTTGTTTTTTTTTGGGAATTTTCATATTTGCTAATGTTTTGAGCATGAGAGCTCAAGTTTCCCATAATTGGCCCCATACTATTGGAGTTTTACTTGCTTATACCATAAAAATTCTATAAAACTGAATAAACTTGCTACAAAAATAATTTGTAGAGATAACACGTAAAGGAGTGAAAACTGAAAACAATACACTTATGTGTAATATCTCCAGTAAATTTTCTCGTAATTCACATTAGCATAAAATCTGAAACTAAAAGCTTAGTTAATTATTTCTCTCTAAGAGTCACCAACTTTATTGTTTAATTATCTGCAAAAGAAATTAAAATATACTTGAAATCGATGTATGAAATTTTGAAAGCTACGTTGTCATGGAGACGTTGTCTTTCATGATGCTGTGGGGGATGTATGCTCGCACCACCAATAAGATTAGTTTTCGTAATATTTTTTTTATCTATTATTCTTTTCTTTCTTTCTTTACAATTAAATTCTTTAAACATCGCTATGCAATTAAATTCATTTATTCCTTAGAACGAGTGTCGTCAAAATAGAATGTTACAGACTATGAATCATATCGTTATCATGGCAGTTTGGTCTTTGCTTTCTACTAGTTTCTACGAGAAGCAACAATTGCTAAACTACTCTTGGGATTGACACAAGTCATCATATAGAAAACTTGTAATTATGGACTTATGGTTGGACAAAACAAATTATGTTATATTTGATTATGAGGAACGACAAAAATTCTAATTTTTATCATCATACTAATCTCCTTAAGATAGTGTAGACGCTAAGTACTAATTTACCGTTGAACTAGGTGTTTAGCCAATAATAAAACATAGATTAAAACAAGACACGTGTGTATCACAAGTCTCATACCAATTATACGACTTAGTGAATGAGACTTGCTTCAAATTTCTGTTTGGTAATATAACACAACCGCACAAATCAAACAGAAGCGAGAGGTCCACTTGGTGGTCGACAAGAGTGCGACTAATACGAGCCAAAAGAAGAGCATCAATGGACCACATATAATGGTGTCTTTATACCCACATATTATCTTATTATAAAGTATAGTATTATTAGTACATATAATTTGAAAACTATGCAATTATTTTATCGACGCGTTACATCACTAGAGGCTCCATACTTGGACCAATGAAGAGGCGCAATTTGATTAGCAAAATTGGGACTTGGGACCCTCTTCAAGTAGCACTACAATTAGAGTATTAGATTTGGTTTCTTCCCCCAACCACCAAATGTTGTTCTCTTAAAAGAAAATTTTAATAAAATCTCCCTCCTTCAACTTTACTCATCCTATCATGAATATATATTAATATATTATACAACAAGGTAAAAAAAATCATTATATACTAGGAAAGTTTTAATAAGGTGCTCGAAGTTAAATATATTTCAATAGCGTAAAGAATTTGATCGATAAGAAATATACCGCTTGAATGATTATCAATCAAATTAGCAGAAATAAAAAAAAAAGATTCAAAGCCATCTCTTATCACTTCTAACTATACATTCATCTTCTACCACTAACTAGTTTTATGAAACCAATTATTGTTTCGATATTTTTCTACCAAATGGTTTAACAAAAAAAAAAAAAAAAATATTTTTCTACCAAATGTGTATACCACTACCTTGTATTAACATATTGAAAGAAAGATTGCAATAACTTGATTTTAGAGTTGATATGGATGTGCTTGTATAAGTAGTTTTGAAATGTGTTGTCTCTAAATACAGATTTGTGTATTTAAAGCAACGGTTCTATATTCTTTCAACTCCATAACGTATACCAAAGACGTTGTATGTCACAATTTATGGGTTAATTAGGTGGTTATGGTTGTTCAAAATATAATTATGTCCTCTATACGAACCAAATCCCAAATAAAAATGTATAACGAGAAAACGTCTCCTCGACTACAAGAAAAGACGTTATTGATTTTAACGAAAAAAACCTAAGGGCAAAAAATACTAGGCCTGGGAAATTGAACCGATCGGTTTAATCGGGTTCGGTTATTCGGTTATTTCAAAATACTGTATATGTGTGACTTAATTCTAGTTATTTTATTATATACTTAAATAATATATGAATATGATTAACCAATTCACTATTCTAACGTCAAAAGGTGAATATTTCGGTTATTTTATTTCAATTTGAATCATAATATATCTCAATTTGTTTTTAGTAAAGATCAAAACACACATGTCGAAGCTATGCGAAATAATGAGAAGAATCCATCTACTTTGTTTAACAAATACATAGCAAATGATTAAAGTTTACTACTAATTGATTACAACAAACTTAATTAATCGAACCCACTAATCTAGAGACTTTTACATACCCCAGATTCCTCTAGCTGAAGCCACTCTGCTATTTGATCTAGCAGTGAGTTCATACAAAATCCTAGCAAATGAATCAGAATACTTACCATCTTGAAAAAGTAGCTCAGCGAAGGCATTTTCATACGCGAGTAGCAATCCTCTGTTTTGAGGCTCGGAGACAAGGTTCTCAAGGATCATCGCAGCTTTTCTGCATACTTCTGGAACTGGATGCGGAGTCTTTATCACTTTTAGCAATCTATCAACCGCCCTGAAAACGATCATAATGGAGTGTCATTGTTGCGATTTAAAACGGTTTATTTGTATTTGATAGAGAGGGAGCATATTTTTTGTTTACCATCTCTCACTTGCGAGCTTTAATCTGCAATCCATGTTAACTTCCACGAGATTGTAGAGTGCTCCAACAGCTGCGGCTTGTGCATCAACGGCTTGTATGCTCAAGAGATCGACTAGTCGCTTGTGTATCTGCAAGGGATTGGTCCATTGTTGGGTTTATTCACGAGTTAGAAATGAGTAAGTAACCAGAAACCATAAGATGATTTTAAGAAAGAAGTTATCAAACCTGTGGGATTAAGGGACTAATGAAAGGTTCATTGTCCGGATTAATAATCAAACGCCCCAGTAATTCAGCAGCAGCACAATTCCAAGCTTTGACGGAAGAATCGAGGATTCCAACCACAGCTTGAACAGCTTTCTTCTCACTATATGCACAAGAGTAATGAATGGCTCACATTGGTATTTGAAACAAGTTATGCATTTTTGTTAGAAGGATACATGGAGATAGAAGTTCTCACTTTATGTTAATGTATGACTGCTTAAGCGAGCTGAAAATTCGAAGATCCATCAAATGCGCCAGGTTTACGATTGTCTCGAGCGAGTTTGTGACCAGCTCTTCATCCTCTGTTAACAAAAGATTCTTTCAGACCATAGTTCCCAATCAAGTATCATGCAAATAAAGAAATAGAGAAAATGAATTCAAATCAAGAAGAAATAGAAATCTATCAGAGGCAAATGTGAGAAACTATTACTAGTAGAAGAAACAAAAAGGTTGGGATGTTTTATATTAAAACATAGTACTCTTCCTTACCAGTCATATGATCGTGTATGCACTGGAAGACAGTTTCTAAGCAATGGCGATGCTGAGCCATTACAACTTCATTATCAGGCATAAAGGAGAAGTTGCGGATAACGTTAGATGCAGCAATGGCGCACATTTGTTTCTCTGATCTCCCTTCATCGTCTAGATTAAACAAACCATCCTCTTCCATCCACCACTGAGATGACTGATGTTTTCCACCGCTCTTTTTCCCTAATCCCTCAGCAGCTGAAGAACCAATGCCGGATCTGCTACGCCAAATATCAACCACACTTAGACTTCAAAATATAAGCAACAACAATTCAAAATTTTAACTAAAAGCAGTATCGAAATTAGCTCACCCAGGGAGTTGAATAGAGGCTAGAGCATCATACTCATTGCCAAATCCCGTAACCGAAGCATTTGTACCTAAAGTCCTAACCCTAGTTCCTCTTGTTAGATCCTTTGGAAGAGCTATGTCACGCCAGTCATCTATCTGCCAAATTTTTAACATATTTTGGTTCAAGCACAATCCCACACCAAACTACAATGGCTTACACAGAAAACAACTCACAATTAAGAGAAGTGCATCAAGCAAGCCAGATATCTTAGCAAGAGGCGTGACATCTCTTCGAATATCGTCTTTTTCCTTAAAGGAAAGCAATGTAAGTGTATTCAACGCCCATGTTACTTCACTCTTTAAACCACTTTGTAGCGCAAGAACTATTCTTCTATTGTTCTGCTCTACAAATTCCAATGATTCCAACGAAAATAACCGATTAAAATCAACGAAAGCTCAGAGGAATATATTATAGAGTGGTGATTGCGAGCTTACCGGCGAAGGAATTGTGAACAAGAAGAGAAGGACCGAGTAGAGCTGAGGGAGACATCGCATCGGCTGCTGCAGCTGCCGCAGCTGCAGCGGCTGAGTTAGCACTTGTACTACCGAAGGGACGGCCTCTCTTCGGTGGTGGACCTGAAGATCCACCGGAATTACCGCCGGATTTCCCAAGCTCCCGTTTCTGCATCTCTCTCTAATTTGGGGATGAAGTTAGGGTTTGGAAATTTGACCGGTTTAAGAGTCCCAGACGATAATCGAATTGTTAAAAGAGAGCACAAAACCCTCTTCCCGAACCAGAGCGTTCCGGTATAATCGAATTGACAATGTTTTATTCCAGTTTATTCCGGTTTTAGTCGATAAATTTTAAAAATTATATTGGTTAAAGAGAGCAGTATACACCGTCTTTCTGCACCAGAGGGTTCTGGTTATAATCGAATTAATAACGTCTTATTCCGGTTTATTCCTGGTTTTAGTCTGGTTCAAAAAGTCCGAGACGATAAATTTAACAAATTTGTTAAAAGAGAGCACTAAACCGTCTTTCTGAACCAGAAGGTTCCGGTTTACGTTCACGTCTTCTTCACGTGGATGGTTTTATACAGACAAACTTGCAGAGGAAATCGCCAAACCCTGCGCCGCCGTTGTTTCGCCGCCGAGTCAAGTTTCCTCCATTCTCTTGAAACGTCTAAGCTCCACCGACGATTAAGGTGATTTTTTACATATCACTCAATTTTCGAATCGAACTTTGAAAATATTCTGGAATCTTCAAAGAGCATCTCTCTCGTTTTGATCTTCTCTTTGATTCTTACGGAGACGTGGACAACTCTTTGGATTCGATTCGCAATCATCTATGAGTTTATTCAAAGGATGGTTTGGATTTATATAAAATTCAGCTAGTTCTTTGTCGAATCTGTGAGCTCTCACAAGGTTTTAGGATTTGGATTATGTTTTCTTATGTAACTAATTTGAATCGCATCGACTCTGATAATGTAATCCTTGTGAATATTGAATCTGCTTCTTGATATTTATCTGCAGGTAGCTCTGTGTTTTGTAAATTGTTAAGAGATGGATGATTCTGAAGGTAGGAAAGTTAGGAACATATGTATACTTGCACATGTAGATCACGGTAAGACGACTCTCGCCGATCATCTAATTGCTTCTTCCGGTGGCGGTGTACTTCATCCGAGGCTTGCCGGGAAGCTTAGGTTCATGGACTATCTTGATGAAGAACAGAGGCGTGCAATTACGATGAAGAGCTCTTCGATTTCTTTACGGTATAAGGACTATTCTTTGAACCTGATTGATTCCCCTGGGCATATGGATTTCTGTAGTGAAGTATCGACAGCTGCTCGATTAAGTGATGGGGCGTTGGTTTTGGTTGATGCTGTTGAAGGTGTACATATTCAGACGCATGCTGTGTTGCGTCAAGCTTGGATTGAGAAGTTGACTCCTTGCTTGGTGCTTAATAAGATTGATCGGTTGATTTCTGAGTTGAGGTTGAGCCCTATGGAAGCGTATACGCGTTTGATTAGGATTGTTCATGAAGTTAATGGGATTGTGAGCGCTTATAAGTCGGAGAAGTATTTGTCGGATGTTGACTCTATACTTGCTAGTCCTTCGGGTGAGTTGTCTGCTGAGAGTCTTGAGTTGTTGGAGGATGATGAAGAAGTTACTTTTCAGCCTCAGAAGGGTAATGTGGTCTTCGTGTGTGCTTTGGACGGGTGGGGTTTCGGGATTGCAGAGTTTGCTAATTTCTATGCCTCTAAGCTTGGAGCTAGTGCGACTGCATTGCAGAAATCATTATGGGGTCCTCGTTATTATATTCCTAAAACTAAGATGATTGTAGGCAAGAAGTCTTTAAGTGCAGGAAGCAAGGCAAAACCAATGTTTGTGCAGTTTGTGCTTGAGCCTCTGTGGCAGGTTTACGAGGCAGCACTAGATCCCGGTGGGGATAGAACGGTTCTTGAGAAAGTTATCAAATCTTTCAATTTGTCTATTCCACCACGTGAACTTCAGAACAAGGATCCAAAAAATGTGCTTCAATCAGTGATGAGCCGTTGGCTTCCTTTGTCTGATGCAGTCTTGTCTATGGCTGTGAAACATCTGCCAGACCCCATTGCAGCACAGGCATATAGAATCCCGCGCTTGGTTCCAGAGAGGAAAATTATCGGTGGTGATGATGTTGATTCAAGTGTCCTTGCAGAAGCAGAGCTTGTTAGAAAATCAATTGAGGCTTGTGATTCTAGCCGTGACAGCCCTTGTGTTGTGTTTGTGTCGAAAATGTTTGCTATTCCCCTGAAAATGATTCCTCAAGATGGAAATCATAGGGAGAGGATGAACGGTTTAAATGATGAGGACAGTAAAAGCGAGTCGGATGAGTGCTTCCTTGCATTTGCTAGGATCTTTAGTGGAGTTCTTCGCGCCGGGCAAAGAGTCTTTGTAATTACCGCCCTATATGATCCCCTCAAGGGTGAATCGTCTCAGAAGTACATTCAGGAAGCAGAACTGCATTCCCTATATCTTATGATGGGGCAAGGTTTAACACCAGTAACCGAGGTGAAAGCCGGAAATGTAGTGGCCATAAGAGGGCTTGGACCATATATATCAAAAAGCGCAACACTTTCATCTACTAGAAACTGCTGGCCTTTAGCCAGCATGGAGTTTCAGGTGTCTCCCACTCTAAGAGTTGCGATTGAACCATCGGATCCTGCAGATATGAGTGCTCTGATGAAAGGTCTAAGACTTCTAAACCGAGCAGATCCATTTGTGGAGATTACAGTGTCTGCTAGAGGAGAACATGTGCTTGCTGCTGCTGGAGAGGTTCATCTTGAAAGATGCGTTAAGGATTTAAAAGAGAGATTTGCAAAAGTGAACCTAGAAGTCTCTCCACCTCTTGTGTCCTACAGGGAGACCATTGAAGGTGATGGATCTAATCTTTTGGAAAGTTTGAGATCTCTAAGCTTGAATACTTCGGATTACATCGAGAAGAGAACTCCAAATGGCAGATGCATTATCAGAGTACACGTCATGAAACTACCGCACGCGCTAACCAAGCTGCTTGATGAGAACACTGAATTGCTTGGTGACATAATTGGAGGTAAAGGCAGTCATAGCGTTAAGATACTAGAATCCCAAAACCCAAGTCTCGGAGAAAATGTGGATCCCATCGAAGAATTGAAGAAACAGTTGATTGAAGCTGGTGTTTCATCAAGTTCTGAAACCGAAAAGGATCGCGAAAAATGTAAAACCGAATGGTCGAAACTGCTCAAGAGAATTTGGGCGCTTGGTCCAAGAGAAAAAGGTCCAAACATACTATTCGCTCCAGATGGTAAAAGAATCAGAGAGGATGGATCAATGCTTGTAAGAGGCTCTCCTCATGTCTCTCAGAGACTTGGCTTCACAGAAGATTCTACTGAGACACCTTCAGATATATCTGAAACAGCATTGTACACTGAAGCTCTGACTCTCGAGAGCAGCATTGTCTCGGGCTTTCAGCTAGCGACAGCATCAGGACCTCTATGTGATGAACCAATGTGGGGATTAGCTTTCACCATTGAGTCTCATCTCGCTCCCGCAGAAGATTTTGAAACAGATAAACCCGAAAACTTTGGCATTTTCACAGGACAAGTCATGACAGCTGTCAAAGACGCATGTAGAGCCGCCGTGCTTCAGACAAATCCACGTATCGTCGAAGCAATGTACTTCTGTGAACTGAACACGGCACCTGAGTATCTTGGTCCAATGTATGCGGTTCTAAGCAGAAGACGAGCTAGAGTGCTCAAGGAAGAAATGCAAGAAGGGTCATCTCTGTTCACAATCCACACGTACGTGCCTGTTTCGGAAAGCTTCGGTTTTGCGGACGAGCTAAGAAAAGGAACGTCTGGTGGTGCAAGTGCTCTGATGGTTCTGAGCCATTGGGAAATGCTAGAGGAAGATCCCTTCTTCGTTCCCAAAACCGAAGAAGAAATCGAAGAGTTTGGTGACGGAGCAAGCGTGCTTCCGAACACAGCGAGGAAGCTCATCAACGCCGTACGTCGCAGGAAAGGATTACACGTTGAGGAGAAAGTGGTTCAACACGCCACTAAACAAAGAACCTTGGCTCGTAAAGTTTGAGTTTTTTTTTTTGTCTTCCTTTTTGACTGGGCTTCGAATTGGGCTTGTGCTCACTTTGGTACATGTTGGAGAAATTATATAAGTGATGAAAGATGATAGATAGTTTTAAATTGATATAAACCAAAATTAAAGTAAACCTACTTTTTTTTTTTTTTTTTCTAGCTTCTATTGTCATATATAGTTCTCAACAACTTAATGTGTGTATTAAATATTAATATAGAGTTTGACATTTCAATTTCGTGTAAATGGTTTCTAATGGATAGCCCCTGATGACAACTAGATGATAGTATCTTCAATTTCGTAAACAATGAGTTATTCTCCTTTTTTTTTTTGTTTAGATTAATAATTACAAGATAATAGTAGAGTGGACTTTAAATTGCTTCGAATTCGGCTTTGGTTCTATGCCTCTCTGGTACATGTTGGGGAAATTTATATATAAACAAATATATAAAACCTATTTTTTTAGGTAACCATAAAAAAAAAAAGACTTTAGAAACCTATTTCATTTTTTGGATAAATGAGAAACCTATTTTATTAGGTGATGAAGAAAAAAAAAGACCTACTTTCATGATTTCTTCATAAATGAATATGAACCAAATTAAAAGTACACCTACAACTACGAGATATTTTTTTGATTCCTAGTAAAGAATCCTGACTACATTTTTTTGTAGCTTTTATTATCCTATACTACTATTTCTAAACAATCAATGTATGTATTAAATAGTATAAATACGATATATTTTCAGTTTCTGTAAATAGGTTTCTAATGAATAACCTCTGAGTACCATTAAGGAGAGTGTCATCACTCTTCCTAGCTGTCAGTGCTTTTGCTTCTAGAACAGATAAACACAGTTTTTAGATTAGAGAAGTTAATGAACTTCTCTTTTGAAATAATCTATCTTCAATGTTACTTTTTCATTTATTTGTTTGATTTTCAATATGATACTCATAATAGTTTGCAAGCTGTCTGATATTTTGGATCTGATTGTTAAGTTTTGTTTTAAGAGAATCAATTAGAAGTCTCAGAATTGAGATTTCATGTTTATATTTTAATAAGTATTTGTTGCCTCCTCAAGCAATACTACATTGTTTATATATGTTTAATAACTTTGGTTTTGGATTTATGTAAATCATAT